AATCTGGGAAGTTATCGTTGGTTTTTATGCTGTGATGAGGAAACTTACGAGCTCAGTTAGAGGTAACAAACAGTGGTTATGATATGCTCTGTGTGATAGGAGGTGGCGCGATTGCTCGGTCACACATTCGTGTTTGTTATACTGCAGATTCGTATACCACATTCTCGTGCAGCTATGACTGGTAAACACTACTCTGTAGATCACTGAGTTCGTACATGCTTCATTACGTGCAAGCCTGGCTTCGTGTAGCTGAGAAACTTTAGATTTTTTTGAGAATTTGAGGTTATTTGATTTGCGGAGTTTTTTTTAATTTTTTAAACGGTTTTTTCGCGCATTTTTTAGTGGTGGTTTTTGTTATTTTGTATACTCCTTGTATAAATAACATGACTATGGAGTTTCACCCGTTTTACGTGAAGTGGCGTAATACACCGTGAAAAACGCTATATTCGCGGCGCAGTAGTCGTGAAATATGTTTCTCACTAGTGTTTTCCATATCACTAGGGTGGTGAAACTTGTATGTATTCAATATGTGGTTCAGGTTCTGCAACGTGGGAGGAAGAATTGCAGTTGTCGAGAATTGAACCCGAGATCGAAGAGCCAAGTGTGGTTGTGTGCAATACGCCTGTAATTCTGACAAGACCGATAACAGTGTATCTCAAGCTTAATAACAATGAGCTTACTTCTCTGGCTGGTCTGTCGGACTCACTGACGGCAGTGATGATTAAGCACACTGAGAGGTAGTCTTTGAGTGATCATTCTATCTGTTTTTGATGTTGCTGTTGTTGTTTTAGACTGCAAATTCTCGATCTTTCGTTCAATCGTCTCACGCGTGTTGATGAGGAAATTTTGGAGTACCCGAACTTGCAAGCTATCTATTTGCATGGCAACCGAATTGACAAGTAAGGGCAGAGTTGGTGAGTCGTCGCAATCAGAGGAATTTCGTCTTTGAATGGTCGCTGGTCGTAGTGGGTTGAAGTATGGTTTTCATGGTAGAGGGTTTTCGATGTGGGAGTTGATCGGAATATCGACGCTATCTTGTAGTTGTTGAAGCTTTTAGCAAAATTTGCGCGGTTTCTGAGACAATCGCTGAGGTTATATATACTATCAATATAACATATATTCAAGATTCGTAAAGTCCACAGAATCGAATGATATAGATGTGAAAGCAGCGCCACAGATATGGACACCTCATCCTCTCTAGATGCTACCCGTGATATGGAAGATTCTTGTTCGTGTGGGTTGAGAATGTTCTTGTTCAACTCTCCCTTGCCATTGATCACGTATACACTTGATGTATGTATTCACTTTTTGTTCGTCATATGTTCTCACTTTTACTGTTCGAGAGAACTGCATTTGGGTAAGTCCGACTCTGAAGGAGGATGTATGCTG